TTCTATTCTATTCTATTCTATTCTATATAGGTTCTTATACTGTGCACATCACTGTAGTATTTGGGCATCTCCAGTGGTGCATTAAGTAATGTGACTAACATCTCCTCTGTTAGGAGCTCTGTGCCCTGGCAATGTCGCTTGGAATGACTGACAGTACAATAGCAGATTAATTCAGAAGCTAATTTCAGGAACAATGGGAACAGATCAGTTTGCCGCTCTCAGACCATGTACTGTAGTCACTTCGGGGGAGGGGGTAGAGGGTACAACCTCTGATTATTAGTATGACTTATTATTATTTGTATTACCATAGTGCCTTGGAGGCCCTCCCAACTGAGATTGTGCTAGGTGCTGTACAAACACAGAGTGAGAGATAGATCCTGCCCTGCTTAAAGTTGAAACAGACAAGGAAGATAAAGAGAGCGCTGTCCAAAGTCATCAAGGAGTCCATGGTAGAGCCAGCAATAAACCCAGATTTCCTCCATCCGAACCCAATGCCTTAATCACAACCCTATCTTTCATCTCTCAGTCATAACTGCCACCCAACTACAGGGCCTCTGCCAGACCCTAAGACAGCTGAGCTATACAGCTGGGGTAGATCTGTAAACCAGGGCCATTGTGGGAACTGTGATGGAAGAAGCTGATGCTGCTTGAATATAGCAGCCCAGTCAACAGTTATTACTTGGTTGACTGTATCCTGGAAAGCAGTGGCTCGGGAAAGGACTTGGGGTAACAGTAGATAACCAGCTGACCATACACTACTAGTGCATTGCTGTGGCTAAGAGGTCTATGGCTACTGAGGATGCATAAGCAAGAGACTATCAAGTAGGAGTTGAGAGGTGATACTACCTCTATATACAATGCTGGTGAGATTGTTACTGGAATACTGTGTCCTGTTCTGGTGTCCGCACTTCAGAAAGGATGTTGGCAAATCAGAAGAGGTTCAGAAACAATCTACAAGAGTGATGCGAGGTCTGGAAGTCTGCTGTACCCTGAGGGACACAAGAGGCACAAGCTATTTATGTTTCCAAAGAAATGGTTAAGAGGTCACTTGATCGTGGTCTGGAAGTACCTGCTTCGGGAGATGATTTCTAATCGTACAGGACTCTTTAATTTTACAAAGGCCTAACAAGAGCCAGTGGTTGGAATCTGGAGGTAGTTATATTACAGCTAGAAATAGGGTGCATGTTTTTAATAGTGAGGGGAATTAGCCCATTGAATAGTTTAGCAAGGGACGTAATGGATCGTGAAATCTTTAACTCAAGATTGGATGTCTCTTTCTACAAAATATACTCTAGCTCAACCGCAAGAATGGGGCTTAGTGTCGGAATTACTGAGTGACATTCTCTGTGCAATGCGGGAGGTTAGATTAGATGATCCTTTGGGCCTTAAAGTTTATGAAGCTATGAATTATTTGGGTGCAAATTCACATACAGGCCTGTGCACGTTTGTTGATGCCTAGTTCACACAAATCCGCCCGTGTGTGCAGGCTGCAGCTGTGCCCACACATATCGGTGTGGAAACTCTGGTTTGCACACAGTTGGGGAGCCAGGTTGGTGAAAAAGCGTGTATGGCCCAAGGTGTGACCCTGTGTGAAAACATACAGCAGAATGTATATTCTCCCCAGCATTGCTCCACCCAGGACCATTCACCTCTAATCCCCCTTTCCCCCCAACAAAGAGAAATGCAAGCCAACAGGTGACAGAGGAATGTTTTATTATTTGTCAGTAATGGAAACACATTCTCACTTGGCCCAAGTTCTGAGGAAGGAGACAAGATGAGATAAGATGCTCAGGTGGCTACTGGGCTGGCAGCCGACTCCAGGCACAGTGCAACTGGTACAGTATCTGTGAGGTGAAAGAACGAGGAAAGCCACGATACCCCTCTGTCCTGACCCTCATTAGCCTCTTCTATAAGTCCTGAGAGATGAGGAGGGAGGAACCCCCTCCCTGGGGGTTCCACTGGGGTGCTTGTCTGGACAGCAGGAGGGCTGAAGGGGGTTCTGAGAGTAGGAGACTCCTCACAGCTCAACAGGGGCATGAAGGTCCCCCTGCTCAGGTAACAAATGAAAAGTCTCCCTGGGGACTGAATGGCTGTCTAGCTAGCCGGCTGGCAGAGGTTAGCACAGCTGAACCTGCCTGAGAGCTGCGCATGAGAAAGGTCATTCTGCTTTGCTAGTGTATGTACTGGCCTAGTGCTTACTAGCCAGTGTCACCTGTAGGACAAAGGTGGTGAGAACTGCATTGTAAACCCAAGCTGAAAAAACTGACTCTTCTACACAGGAACCTGCCCTGAGGATTTGGATTTGGTTGGCACCCTGTAGTGGCTGGGAGCTTTAGCAGTTCATAGAGCCATATGGCCTTTCATGATGGGAAGAGGGACAGAAAGCCTCACCGGGGGAGGTTTGCAGGAGATGGGTCAGTGGAGGAGAGGATTGACCTAGGCTGGGTCAGTTCTACATTCACTGCAGTGCCTGTGTGCAGCATATACAGCACATCCCATACAAAAGCAATGGTAGGCAAATGTTATGGTTGCATAGCTAAGCACTCCAGTCAGTTGTACATGCAATCATAACTCTACCCCCTAACCCAACTGTATTATAATGCCTCCTCTAATTAAAAGATCACATACTGTTTCTCAGATGATGCAATATATCCTACGTTTTTTCTACAAACTTAGATATGTTACCTACTCATAATATTCGCATCATTCTTTTTATATTTACACTACTCATTTGTCATTCCAGTCCCCTAAAATGTAGCAAAGCTTTTGAATGCCATTTAATGATTTGGAGGCCCTGTTCCCGGTACACTTATTGGGAAATCTGGTCCAGCTCCCATTAGGCAGCTTTGAAAACCCAGCCTGTATCTTTATTTATGTAGGGATTTTACAAGGTGCAGTCCTTTCTTCCTACAGAATGTATTTTAGTAATTTTGTCAGCATCTATATACTATCTTTTCAACCAGCAACCCAAACTTCCATTCAAGGGATGAAATTAACTTAGCTGTGAATTTAATTAGCATATATTTACATATACCCTAGTTCATTTTCACTTTTGCTCCATATTGCTATACTTACATTGGGTAAGTCCCATCTAGTATATACTTTTCATGCAAATGAATTACACGAACTCTGTTGTCTGGCCTACACAAAGCACTAGAAGATGTTGCAAATGTGTATTTAAAGTTGTAGAAAAAGTGTATGATATGCAGTATTATTTGAGAAATAGTATGAGATCAGATGTTTAAAGACTTTATTGTTATAGGTATACATGCAAGAGAGCTGGGTTCAGGTTGTGCATGTAACATTAACTGTGGCATTCCCTGATACTGTATATCAGTGATTAGCCATACAGTCTTAACATTCTCTTAACAGTTCTTGCTTAAATGGATTTCCTAGGGTTGGTTTGTTTGTTTTTTAATTAAGATGAAAGGTGGGGGAGAAGGCGCTCCACTTGCCAGGACTTCAAAGTTCTCCTGGCATGCAATTAAGGCAATAGCATGTGTTCATTCCACAGCTGGAAATATTTGGCTAGACACCATGAGAATGCCCTGCCCTGCTCGACACCTTAGGAAATCTGCAGGAGGGAAACCTCTTCTTGCACACAGGACGTGTGAGCAAAGAATGCTAGGATTTGCACAGTCACCAAGGTGCATCCCAGGAGGGCTTCCTCGTGCACACCTACCAGGTTTGCAGCAGCCATTCCTAACCTCTGGGCACACAGGAGCAAGAGCTTGTACAAACCCTGACAAGCAAAGCACTTATGCACATGCCTAACCTCAAACATGAGTATCCCATTGATGTCAACTGGACCACTCGCATGCCTAATGCCGAGCACATACAGAGATTGCTGGGCTGGAACCATAATGCAGAAAGCTCAGTTTCATACCTCGGGTATAAACACACAGGCTCTTTAAACTTACACTTTAAACTTACACTTTCAAAGGCACAAATGGCAGCTACTGGAAGCAAGTAGGCACCTAACTTCCACTTGCACCTCTGAAAGTCTATCCCACTCCATGTCTAAAATAATGCTGTGCTCATTGAATAGATCTAAAATTACTGTGCTCCACCCCTCTGGCACAGCAGTCCCTGGGAGGTACGGATTACCTCTTCCCCTTCCCACTGCCTGTGAATCAAGCCTGGAATATGTATTTTTTTTCACACTTTTGTGTCAGTTGCTCTGCAGACAAATTGTTACTTCAAACCCACCATAAAGGAATTGTTTTATATTTCTGTGCCAGGTTTCTGTATGTGTCCAATTGACATACTACACTTAGCCCTGGAAAGATTGTCCTTGTCTCCCAAATTCACTACCTCTAAAGAGATTAGGGACCGTGGGCCTATTAAAGTCAACAGCAGTCTGCTTCTTGCCTTCAGTGGGTATGGGATCAGGCTCTGCATGAATGTCTGAATAAATGACGGAGTCACTGAGGGCATATATCCAAATCTTTGTGTGTATTTGTGAGTAAATGAGCATATTAGAGATGGGCTCACCTGACCCAAGAGCTTCAGGGGTGTGTATGTGTGTGTGTGTACGCGCACATACGCACACGCGTGCATATGACATATGGTGCCACTGAGTTTGCAGATTATTAGACACTGCCAGCATTTTAATTTGTCTCTTTCTTTTTTAAAAGCCATTCCTAACGGTCTCTCACGGGTCCATTCCAGCCTTCTTCTCTCACTTCCAAACACTTTTATTTTTTCATTTCCTGAGTCTTTCAGAGAATATTTATCTGGATCACCGCAGGGGACACCTTGCCTGCCATCTCTTCATCTTTTCCTTCACAATGAGGCAAAGGTTGTGTAGTGGGTCCCTGGAGTCTCCAACTTGCCCAGGTGGCTTCAAGACAAACCAGGTCCCTTCTTGATTGAAGTGACTGTTTTCAGCAAATGTACACAGCATTTCAATTATATACAAATATTATCAAATAAATAGAGAATCCAGGATTCCTCTGACTCTGAGACAAGCATTGGTAATTTTCAGTGGCGTCCTCTTCATTCTTCTTGAGGGCACTGTACATTTCTCCCATTTCAGCTAACAAAATAGCTGTGGTAAGCCCCAAAGAGAGGAACAGGACATGTGCTGTATAAAGACCATTTGCACATTGGCTTGTTTGCACTAGCCATGAGAACTCTCTCACTCAGACATGCCACAAGCCCCTGAGAGGCCAGGCCAGGGTAGGTTTTTTGAACATGTACAGCCTATTGGACATAACCCTCCCATGAGTTTAGGTGCTGGGTTCCAATTCCCAGTTTTATTTGATCGCAGGGGCATTACTTTACATTTTATATGCGTCTGGTAAGCAGTGTGAGCGAGGAGTCAGTAAGAAGAGGCCCAGTGTCAAATCTTTGTAGTTGGCATCTCTGTTGGCCTCCAAATAGACTTCATCCTTAAACCGCATCTCGGACACTGTCACCGAATCTACTACCTCCTCTGTGACCTTCACACACAAGATGGACGCATCGGACCGCTTGTAAACCTTAAGGCTCAGTGAGGCATTCCTCTGGTACGTTGCCCTGATAGTTCCCTTCAGGGAGACCAGGTAGAAGCCATCACAGTAGATCGGGATGGAGAGGTTTCTGACGTTCATGGTTCCCCGATTCCAAGAGATATTGATGCGTTTCTCCTTGGGGACATAATCTGGAGTGGAAGAAGCAAACAGAAACCCATGGAGATGTGAGTCCCTCAAACCCTCTTGGAAGAGGATGATTTTATGTGGCTTGGGCATAGGAAGAAACAAAGAGAGTAGAGAAATCTCAAAGGAAATAGGGAGAACTAGAAATGGGATGGAATGAAGAGGGATGCAGAGAGGGAGGAAGATCTAGGGCAAAGGCTCCGCAGCTTTGCTCTGTGGCACACAGACAGCTGGCTTGGCACTGGCTCTTCTTGTTTCCACGTTAGAGGAACAGATCTGATGAAGGGGAGAGATTAAATGAAGCGCCTTAGAATGGGAGGGAAGTAATGGGAGAGGACCACAAGATGCTCTGGATTTGATTCTCAATAACATGATGGCCCTTTTCTTGCTCTGGCAGTGTAAAGGAGCCTTCCAGAGGGGTGTAAAATGGCCTCAGTGTGAATGAGAATCTTAGCCCCTCTCTGTGAAGGAGGGGTTCACACTGTGAAAATGTAGTAGCAGCAGTGAATATGGATATTACAGTAACATCCAGAGGGCCATGTCGGGATTGGGGCCCCAGTGTGTAGGGCCCTGTACAAGCCTTGTCCTGATGTTCAAAAATCCCTGGTCTAGAGAGAGCAAAAGCGACAGGGAGAGCTAGAAAGAGCAGAAGAGCGAGGGGGAGAGCTGGAAAGGGTGGGGATGGATGCAACATATTTGAAGGACCAGGGAATGTAAAACAGAGGAGTGCAAACCCCACAGCCAAGAAAACTACTTCATTTGCATATTCATTTGCATAAATATTTAAAAGGACAATAAAAGCACACAGCTTTATTGTCTCCTGTTTCTCTCTTCCATGACCGAGGATTGGCATTGCTGGCTTTTGGGATTCTAGTCCTGGAGTTCACCATTAAAGACCTGCCCCTGGACCATCATTCCACCACTGTCAATGGAAAGACTCCCGTTGACATCAGTGGGCTTTAGATCAGACCCTGCACTGCCCTGGAGAGGAAAACCCAGAGTAGCTGTTCAGGACACTTACATGCTGCACTCAGCATTGAGCATCCTACCATCTAAAGCTGTGTCTTACCTGAGCCAGATGGGTGACAGAAAGCAAGGAGACTGAGTCTCTGGGCACTTACCACTTATGTGGTAACATGAGGCAGAGCCGGCGAAAAATATCATTTATTTCCCACACACATTTTCTTCAATTTATTTTTGATGAAATTTCCCACCATTTTATTTCTTTCCAGGGGGAGGGATGTTTCAATGAAAAAATGAAATAGAAACTTGAAAAAAAAATCAGTTATAATGAACAAATACACACCTGTGGCTGCAACTTCGATCCACTGGGATTTTGGAGTCTAAAAAGCAACAAAACAAAAAAACAGATTAATAATCTCTACAAATTCAAGGAGAACTTTCCATCTCTCCTTGCAGATGTGCGGTGAGGGGAGAAAGAGCTTTTCACATTGTTGTTTATGGCAAGTCTCACGATATTTGATGTTTCTCTTAAACCCCAGCTCCTGGAATCCTGTGATTACATGAGAACCTTAGCTTTTGTGTTTTTTTATAAAAAAGATTAAGTTTCTAGCTCTCCAGGATGCAGGGGACATTCCCACCAGCAGCCAAGGAAACCTGACCAGTCAGGCTGGGAGGACCCCAGCCCAGCCCCCTTTGATGCTCCTGCTATCAGGCAATGGGACGGAGTGCATGCTGACCCTTTCTGCAGCAGATGTAAGCAGCTCTGGGCATTGCAGTCTCAGGCATTGTGCCTCTCCTTGGCTTCTGGCTCATAGCTGGATCTGCTGGGGAGTTTTCTGGATAGAACCAGATTTAATTACGTTAATAACGCCTACCCTCATTGACCACTCCTTCATCAGTGGATTTTAAAATGCTTTACAAAGGAGGTCAGCATCATTATCCCAATTTTACAGATGGGGAAACCGAGGCACAGAGCAGGGAAGTGACTTGGGCCAAGGTCACCCAGCAAGCCAGTGGCAGAGCCAGAAATAGAACCCAGGGCAGTGCTCTGTCCACTAGGCCACACTGCCCCCTACACTGGGAGTATTTGCAAAAAATTTAGCAAACTCTCTCCTTCCCCAGGCCCCAGTGTTTCCACCCACAGCCCCACCGGAGCACAGAGGCTGGGGTACTGGGGAAACAACAAGCTCTTCCTGCCAAGAGCACCTGGGTTTGATGCAGTGCCTGAAAACTTTGTTCGTTCAGCTCCCCTTCCACAGACACAAACCTCAGCACAGCATGAGGCGAGCAGGCCTCACAGCTCAGCCGGGACTAAACAGGCCATTTCACCCCAGTGGAGTTCAGCTGTGGAGGGGGCCAGCCAGGAGCTGTGTTTGAAAACCACTGGCAGTGCCAGGTCTTGTTTCTGGTGTAGCCGGGGCCCGCAGGCCCTTGTCTCCAGCTATGGAGGGAGCAGCTCCTTCTTGCTAACAGGCCTGATTATCCCTTGGGTAGCTCCATTTCCCCATTGTTGCTAGGGTGACCAGACAGCAAGTGTGAAAAATCAGGACAGGGGTGAGGGGGTAATAGGAGCCTATATAAGAAAAAGACCCAAAAATCGGGACTGTCCCTATAAAATCAGGGCATCTGGTCACCCTAATTGTGGCCCAGGCTCCAGCCAGGCCCCCAGTGCTATCCTGTAATCAGGGCCAGCGTAGGGGAGCCTTGTTTTCCTGCTGCTCTGGTGATGCTGCACCCACCGGAGTCTGCAACTGCGATCTAGAAAGCAGCAGCGCCCTGACACATGCAAATACAACTGGTGCTTGCTGGTTTCATCATCCAGAGCAGTAGGTGTGAGTGTGAGTGTCTTTCACTTTCATTTTCATTTCCTGGTCCTTCGCTCCCTGTGCCTCTCTCCTCCCAGCCACCGCCTCCTCGCTCTTGTTTGCCCTCTTTCCCGTTGTGGGGCAGCCCTTGCCTGAACAGCTGTATCCCAGGGCATGGTGGGCTGCCTGCAGAGAGCTGGAGTACTGGACGCTGCTGTTTGTGAGGGCAGGGAACACACAGATTTGATGTCAGCTCTTAGGAGCTTTTGCTTTTAAAATGTGGCCCCCATTCCTCTAGCTATCACTCATGCAAATCTCTTCAGTGCCGGAGTAAAGACCGCAGGATCTCCTCCTTGAATTGTAATTTTTAAGACTACACATTTTATTCTGATCCAAACCTCACTGAAGACAATGAGCCATGGTTTGGGACCTTTCAACTATTGTAATTTAAAAATCATTTAGTTAATCTTTTAAAAGGACACTGTGGGTTAAAAATAATAATGTAAAAAAAAAAATTCTGTCCTTGTCATACTACTGCAGCTATGGATTACTACAGTGGAAAACATGTTTAAAGGTTGAATTTATTGTTAGCCTTTCGTGCTATTTGTTTGCTTTTGATAAGTCTTTCAGTCAAGACAGTTTCATGTTGATTCCTAGTCAATTTCACTTTCAGCTCTGATGGGCGGGTTCTATAGACTGTAATTTAAAATGATAACCTTGTGATAGGAGTTTTTTTAAGTAGCCTATAGAATAGTGAATTATTATTTCTGGTATGACATTCCATAAGATGGTTAAAAAAGAAGCAGCATGCCAACCCCAACATCCAAAAATCATGAGATTGGCTGAAAATTATTAGATTTTTAAAAAGAATTAATTTTTATTTTCCTTCTGTTTTTCAGCTTTTAGGGTTCATATTTTTAAGCTTTTCTCCACAATCCTGAGAGCTAGAAATTTATTTGAAAAAAAGAAAGAAAGCTGAACTACTCACATGATCGCCTGACTCCAGCAGCTAGGGCTTTAAGAAAATTACCAAGTATCATGGAACTCATGCTAAAATCATGAGTTGGCAACTATCAGATAGTTTCTATTAAATTATATGGGCCAGATCCCCAGCTAGTGTAAATTGGTGTAGCTCCATTATCTTCAATGGCACTACATCACTTTACACTCACTGAGGTTTTTAGAGCTCTTTCTATAGATGTCAGTTCCATTCCTATCTATCCCCATTTCTTTCATCCTTATTAAATTCTGTAGGATATTTCAGTTGGGGAGGTTTTCCACACACTGATGAAATGTCGCAAATTTCAGACATTGTAGGTGACTGTTTAAATCCAAATAAATCCAAACAAAAAGCTGTTTTCATCAGAATTTTAAATAATAATTTTTTAAATCCTTTGAAACATTCCTCGTTATTGGAGCTGGTCAGACTATGCATTGTAAAGAAATTATGTGATGAATTTAGCACTTTCTCCTATTCACTCAGTAGATGTATTTGTGACCCCGCATTTGCCAAATGGCTTAGCCTAACAATTTTTAATCTCTGAGGGGCTTGCAAACTATTACTCATTTGCTATTTGTTATTTGTGGCATGCGAGTCATCACCTCAGTCACACGGTGGTTCTGCTCCCTGCCTGGATCACTGAAACTTTTGTAGAAGGGAGCATAACAAATACAGGTGGTGAATAGTAAATAACAAATCATGAGCATCAAAGAGCTTTATTGCCATGAGTATGTTCGTATGAGGGGGAATTCACTCCATGCTCAGGGCAGAACAAGGCTCGTGCACTATCTCACTACATTGTTGCCATCCTCCCTTGTGTTTTATCACCAGGAGGAGCCACTTTACACTGCAACTGGTAGGGTGACCAGACATCCCGATTTTATCGGGACTGTCCCGATATTTCCTTGTTTGTCCCGCATCCCGACCAATGTTAGGTTGGGACACTGGACAAACAAGCAAATACTCCGGAGCCTGGAAGTGCTCGCCCCCCTCCCCGCACTGACTCCACCCCCTCATTCCCCCATTGGCTCCCTCCCCAAATCCCCGCCTCTTCCCCGGGCTCGCCATTCCTCCTCCCTCCGGCGCTTGTGGAGGGAGGCCTGGGAGACGCAGGGGAAGCATGGGGCCAGGGTGAGTGAGAGTCCGGCCTGGCCCCGAGCAGGCAGGACTCAGTCAGGCGGTAGGGAGAGTAGGGGGGCGGCCCGCGGGGCCAGGCGGTGGCTGTTCTCCCCCCCGGGCAGCGGGACTCGGGAGCAGCCGCTGCTGCAGCTCCCACTGCCGCGGGGGGAGGAAGCGGCCGATGGCCAAGCTCGGCGGCTGCGGTTCTGGCGCCCCCGAGCCCCCCGAGCCTGGGCCTGTTGCAGGGACCCAGCAGCGCACACGCTGCGTGCGCCCAGCCCCTGGCCAGTCGCGTCTGGGCTGCTGCCCAGCTGGTGCTATCCTGCAGCGGCCCCAGGGCGGAGGCATCATGGCAGCCCAGCCCAGCCCAGCCCAGCCCCGTTCGTTCCCCCCAGTCTCCTCACAGCTACAAGTCCTGGGAGTTTTGCCTGGTTAAAAAATGCAGGCTCAGGGTTGTATTTTTTTTTTCCACTTTACCCTTTCCTTGGGTTTTCTATGACAGGAATGGGCTGACCAGACGGAGGATGCACTGTGAGAACTCATTGATTTGTATGCATCTGATTGATTTGTTATAGGAACAAATCATTCTGCTCACTCCAGGCACTTGGACAGTTGTCCAAAGAATTTAATACACAAGAAAATACACAACTAAAATTTCAATTTGAACTCCATGCCTGTGACAAAACCAAAGGGATCAATGCATGGGAGAGATTGCTTCCTATAGCTGTGTGTACAGTCAGCTTGTATGCTGCAGCACAACTCTCGGAGATATGAAGACGTCTGTTGAGCCAACCTTGGGAGTTCAGGTGCAACACTGGCACCCTCTAGTGTTACTTAATACCAGTCTCTCATTGTTTCAAATTTAAGGGCCCGATCCCACAAACACTTAAGTACATGCATAGTTTTACTTGCATGAGTCACCTTACTGACTTCAATGGGACTACTCACATGAGCAGTTACACACTTAAGGATTGGGCCCCAAACATATTATTTTAAAGGGTTTCACTCAGTTGCTGATGTAGACTGAAATGTGATGGGATGCTTTCAGCTTGGGCGCTATATTATTTTAATTCTACCTTATTTTATGTTTTACAAACTAGGTGTGACATTAATATTTTACACCTGCATAGCCACATTCATCTCAGGCTCTCAAAGCACATTACAAACATTAATTACCCAACATTAAATTCTGAGAGGTTGGGGAGTGGGGATCCATGAGCCCATTTATAGAATCTGTAGGGATGCAATAAATAAATAAGCAGAAGCTAGCAATTCCTGACCCATTCTTTTTCTGTTTTGCCCATATGACTGTGTACAGAAAAGGATTTAAGGAGGCAGCACTCCATAACTATTGGCACCCAGTAGGGTCACTGAAGGAACCTTGAGAGGTTGCTGTGTTACCAATGCACCGCAGTTAAAGAATTCCATGCAGTATTCACACAATAATTTAAGCCTGTTTAGAGTCCCCTAAATATCTCTTTCTATGAGACGCTATGTAAGCAGATTCCCATGGACCTTTTATTGTTGTCATGTTTGTATTGTTTATTGTATTCATGGAGTAGCACTGCATGGCAGGTGTCCCCCTAGGAATGGTGTGTGTATCATCCAAGGCAATCCCAGTGAGCAAAATCATAAACACATTGATTTTAAAATAAGCAGGAACCATTATGATAATCTAATCTGCCGTCCTACATAAAACAAGCCATAGAACCATCCGTCCCCCCATTGATTCCTGCACACAGCCCGATAACATGGTCGAGCTAGAGTGAGAGCTAATTAGAACTGGATCACATCATTTCATCTCAGAATCATGGCTATTCTGTAACTTTGTCCTGTTCCTGGCTATGCTGAGCCCATGGGTAATGCCTCTACTTACGGTACTTACACCTCCCTCAGTATTGATATACATTAGCACAAGAGTGCTGCAACAAACCTTCATGAGCAGGCTTTTAATGTGCAACACCGTGAAGGCTATTTGTCTGCCCAAATCAACCACCCTGCGAGCATCACAAGCATTGGCTGGATGCATGAATCACAATGCCTGTGATCAGGTCTTTGGATTAGGTCTAGCCAAACTGGTGCCGTCTCCAGGGGGTAACCCCAGCAAGGATGGGAAGTCACAAGCATTGCAGGTGCAGAGATTCGGCTTGACTGCAGCATGCTTATCATTTGGAAATTACGCCCAAAGCTTGTGCTTCAAGCACCAGAGCAGTGCACTATGAGATAGGTGCTTTGGGCATTCCCGTCTGCACTGGTACAACCGCAGCTGAAAGGGGGACCGTGTGAATGAGTGTGCACTAAACTACTGCAAGGATAATCCAGACAACCAATATTTCATCCTTCTGTAGGGCTTGATCTATTGTCAATGGGAACACTCCCTTTGATTTCAATAGGTGTTGGATCAGACCCATAATATAGATGTATTCTTGGGTTATGGAACATTCTTAGTAGCAAACCATCCTATAGGTCATGGACCATTTGGCTGGGGTGGAGGGACAGGGTGTGCGTATTTCCTTTAAACAAAGCAGTATGCTCTTACAAGCAAGCCGTCTAGAGCTTTTGGTGAACACCGTCAAAATGTTTGTGTGGATGACGTAATATATTCCATGACTGTGTCACATTAATCCATGTAAGGTTATTCTGCAGTTGTTTGGAAATTGGCTACAACAGGTTCATCTCATATAAGGGTATGTGACTGTACAATAACTATAAAATAGCAATCAAAACTATGGTTATCGGAAACACATGATCTCTTTCCTGCAATTAGGTTACATCTGGGCTCTCTGCACTGGCAAACATTATGCATTCTTCCTGAGAAAAGGCCCAGCTTCCTGGCTAGGATACAGCACAGTTCTTAGTGCACCTACCAGGCTGAGAATCTATTATAATCTTCTTCCTAATTTTCCCCAGCAGATTAAATCAATGCAGCTCTGTTGGCTCTTGTCCTAGACATCTGTGTTGTGTTTCTGGGTGTTCTTAACTAGCTGTTGCCTTCCAGCTCAGTGCAGTGACCCCTGTACAGAATTCAAAAGTCCTGCTGGGTTCCTGGGTACTGCATGGTGCTGTCTATACAGGAGACCATGATTATTTAAAATAATGGGACGTGGGTTTTTTTAAATTGTGCTTAGCAAGTGTGCGTTTAAAACTCAAAGGGTCGTCCAGCAACTTTGCCAAGGAACTGCCTCCTTAACAACCCATTCAAGTCTAGGTTCTGGTGATGAATGGCAAGTCCAGGCATGCACTATGTCTCCTGCACATTCACTGCTCTCTTGTTTTCATAAAGCTCACATGTGCCACCAGCACCAACTTTCTCAGTGCAAAGAGGCTTTGAATTAAAATATTACAGAACTAAGTGGCGCTAAGAGGCAATGCCAGAATGACGTGTATTGTAATGTATAATGTGATGCTGTTTCATTAGCTGAACAAAATAAATTGCCTTTCCCAATTGCCCAAAAGTGGGAAGACTCTCTTCAAGAGAGAGGGAGAGAATAGAGACGAGAGGAGAGAGAAATCAAAGATTCAGTTCACACATAGCATCTGCTGTGTGCAAAGGATGAAATGGGCTGGGAGAGATTTTTGACAGTCTCTGGTCTCTGTTACATGACTCATAAATTCAGTGGAACTGTTTTTGACATGCACCTGACATAGAAAAGATGGATTTCACTTCAGCAGCAAGAGATATCGTGCATTAAAGCCATTTTAACCAGAGTGTGGTTTATAGATCTGGTTCATTTTACCTACCAAGTTAAGTGGGAGGAAAGAACGAACACTGTAAGGTGAAGCATAACATAGTGAACACAAGCACCTGGGGAACGTGTGGGAGGAGAAGCAGCTACTGCATGATCTGCACTGAAATAACAACAAAAGAGTGCTGGGGACCCAGAGACTGTTAGCAATGAGAAACAAAGAAAATATTTGGTACAACTCTCCCAAAAGCAGTCCCAGCAGCAGGCTAGTTCTTATTGTTTTGAGTCTGGAGTTTAGTTCAAAATAAATGAAACTCTCTAAACACACATTTTCATTTATATCTATAATTACATCCAAGGCTTAACATAAAGAACTAGCTAGATGACTCCTGGGAACACAGAATTGTGTTCTACAGCTTTTGCAAAAGTTGCAACAAACATTCTCTCTTTCTTATATAGCTATATAGAGTAGATTAAAGCAGTACATAAGACGTTTACAAATAATACAGAACCTTATTATCCCACTGCTACACCTGTTAAGCAGCAGTTACTCACCCAAGTAGTACAATGGAGTCAACTGTAACTAGTCCCATGTGTACTTACTCAACATGAGTAAGGCCAGCACAATTGGGCCCATAACAATCAGCGAGGTAGTAATTCAATATATTTTTTTCATGTGACCAAAATTCACCTGGGGGACCAAGTCGTTCGGTCCTTACTCAGGCAGAACTCCCACTGAGGCCAGTTTATTGACTCTGTCACTGGGCCAGCAATTTTGCATGCGCAGTTCCACTGCCTGATAATACAGCACCAACCCAGCAGTCTGTAAGAACATACTTTGCGGTGGGTGGCACAGAAAAAAGGGCTCATCATTAGGAAAGGGTTAAGAATTGGGTTTTCTGCTTGCCACTTTGCAAGGTGATGGCCCTAAATGCTTTCTTTATACACAGAGCTTTACAGTGCGGAAGAAGGCAATGAGGTTTATCATATGGTCTTACCGTAGGGGGATGCAGGAAACCAAGACCAAAGTAGACCAAGCAGGAAAGCAATACTATCCACTGGGCCACTGCAGACACCAGCTGCAGCCTGTTCCTTCTGACCTGTCTCCTCTCCAGCTCCAGCTGCTCTTCCAGCCTTTGGGCCTCCATCTCCAGCATCCCTTCCATCCCAGCCTCCCTGCCACCAACCTGCCAGCAGAACTGGATGAAAGAAAAAGCTCTCCCCTGCTTCTGCACGAAGGGCAAATCTCTTGAAGGGAATGAAGCAGAAGCAGTAGGTGTGTTGTCCCAAAAGGAAATGAACAAAGTGGCTTCAGGAGTGGCTCAGGGTTTTATACACACACAGCAGCAGCAGCAGGCGGGGGACTTCTTTGTGACTAATCTGAATTTCCCCTTTTCTTTCTTTCTTTCTTTTCTTTCTTTTTTTTTTTTT